GTTTGACAGTTGGTGCCGAAGGTCTAGTGAAGTACAGTATAGTCTGCATTTACGCGGTCAATTGAACCCTTGGAGGTCCGCGTAAAACGAGAAACGCGTAAACGAAATAACAGAACATATGGGATTAATTGAAATAGAGACTGGGCCGACACCCAAACTATACTTTTACCGACACAGTACGTACGTTGTAGTAAAAATAACATCTTAATTTTATGATGGTATGCGCACACAATTAATATTTAAGAGAAATATCAATAATACAGTAAAACCTCGATTAACCGACCCTCGATTAACCGACTTTCGGATTAACCGTCAATCCCGAACCCCAATTTTTTTTTTTTTTTTTTTTACGGGGATTAGCCCATCCGGGCACAGGTCACTGACCCACATTGGGGCCTTGGGGGCGATAATGTGAGAATATTAATAATGATAATAATAATAATAGTAATAAAGAACCATAAAGAAATGCAAAAATGAAAAACAAAATCAAGAGTGAGAAACAATGTAGGGTACCTGTATGTATGTTGTGTTGTCAATAGTAAGAGAAACAATTGAGACCCTGCAATTGTGTGTAAATGAGGCAGAAAGTCAGATCAGCAACCTGGGAATTGGTCACAATTTTTGTGATGACATATGTTCTTTGACTTTTCCGTTTTTTATTCACGGTTTCTGTGCTGGTTCATATTTATTTAATAAAGTGGTTAATGTTTTAAAGCAAATTCTATTGAAATATGAATGACAAATGAACAAAAATGAATAGAGGGAATTAAATAAGGTAGGTTAGGGAAAGGTATTTTGAAAATGTATGTTTTATTTCCGTAGACTTTATGTACTATAAACCGACCTTTTGGATTATCCGTCGGCCCCTTCCCCCCATATGTGGTCGGTTACTGTATTAGGTTTTTTAACACTTACGTTAGTAGAAAAGATGACTGGGCACACGGGGATGGGGGTTTGGTTCCGAGGCAGAGGGCAAATTGTTGGCCCTCACCTGTATCACTTGTATCAATTGTATCGCTATCCACCACAGAGGCTTGCAGGGCCTCTTTGTCAAACCCCTCAAAGTCCATATCCTCACTATCACTGACTTGGGCGGCTGTGGTGGGTGGCGGGTGAAGAACTCGGTAATGTTTTGATGACTGGGCGACCTTGTGCGCACCCTGCCCGCGCTGCTTCCCGCGAAAATTATGAAATTTACAGCGTAATTAAAACATTTCATTCTGACAAGGCACCGCGTAAATGACCAAACGCGTAAATCCAGACTATACTGTATTTATTTGTTTATTTATGTCCTTTCGATTGAGTTTTTGTTTTTTGCTTAAAAAATGTCATAGAAGTGACTGGGGAAATTATACTTTACATTGCTGGAATTCTTATAAGATAGTGATTAATTTGAATATAAACGTCATAATATTTTGCACAAGAGATAAAAATTTTGGTACGTTGTACATTTTAATAATGTAAAAAATTTTCAACTGTATCTTTAGGTAGATTTACATAAACTTCTGGGCGTCTCTTTTTCCTCTCAGCACCACGAGAGCTCTCGAGAACGCCCACTTTTACGCTTGCTAGCCATTTTAAAGGTAATTACAAACGAAAATTTGGTCAGTACACAGCGCAATCACTAACGTTGGGACTCGAAAATACTTAATTTTATTTATTTATTTTTTTTTACGACTGGGGCGGTCGTATGTCCGGGTGGTTGTAGGTCGAGTATGTCGTAAGTCGAGGAGTATCTGTATAGTGTATACCTAAAAATACCAACTCCTTGTAGGCTTGATTGAACAATCCTTTCTAGAATTTCTTGAAAATGTGAAATTGTTGCCGCAATCCCTTAGACTTACGCGTGTCACTCCCACGAGACACAGCTGATGCGAAGGTCGGTGACTGGGTCAATGTCCACGAAAATCCTGAGTACAGCAAACTGCTGCTCCCTGTCAGTGAACTCAAGGAGTCTTAGTTCACTGGGTACACTAGTGCATTCACCACACCATACCTCAGAATGCTGAGACCATCCCTCGTGGTCGTAGATGTATCATCACTAGGGGGCTGCTGGTAACTGGGGGTTACTCACGCCATACGAAAGAATTTTGTTGACAGGAAGTTGATTGATGAGTAGTCACAACAACTGTAGTCACATCCTGCCACACCCTATGACAGTGAACGAATCATTTGCAGAAACTAATGTTCACTTCAGCTCACATGATTGTTGCCATAATTCAGCAACTATCAATAACTCATTAATGGTTATTGAGAAAAAAAACTTGTACATCTCTTTGGATGACAAAATAAAAATCACTCGACATATAACGTCTCACTACAGGATATTATAATACACTTTGGAAGAATATAACACTTCAAATTTTTTTTTTTTTTAAACATTTATGGCTTGTTCTGTAGAATGTACAGTATAACCCCGCTTTACGCGGTCAATTGAACCCACGGAGGCCCGCGTAAAGCGGGAAACGCGTAAATGGAACAACACTTTTTCAGACACAATGCGTACGTTGTAGTAAAAATAACTTCTTAATTTTATGATGGTATGCACACACAATTAATAATTAAGAGAAATATCAATAATATTAGGTTTTTTAACACTTACATTAGTAGAAAAGATGATCTGGGCACCTGGGGATGGGGGGTTGGTTCCGAGGCAGAGGGCAGATTATTGGCCCTCACCTGTATCATTTGTATCACTATCCACCACAGAGGCTTGCAGGGCCTCTTTGTCAAACCCCTCAAAGTCCATATCCTCACTATCACTGACTGGGGTTGGCTGTGGTGGGTGGCGGGTGAAGAACTCGGTAATGTTTTGATGACTGGGCGACCTTGTGCACACCCTGCCCACGCCGCTTCCCGCGTATATGAGTAGATGCACCGCGTAAAGCCGGAATTCCGGTTTTGGCGGGGTACCGCGTAAATGTAGAAACGCGTAAAACGGGGTATTACTGTATATATACAGCTAGACCCCGACTTACGACGGGGTTAGGGACCCAAATCCAGGTCGTAAGTCCGAATGGTCATAGTAAGTCCGACATAGATAAAAAAAAAATTTAAATAAAAAATCTACAATGAAATACAGTACAGTAAAAGTAATAAATAATGAGGAATGGATACAGCGTGACTGAGCACTTACCTTTAATGTAGTCAGCTGAATGCACATGAGGCCCCCATAATTTTCTAATTATACATGGAGACTACATTAACTGGAAATGTTTCGGTATAGAAATTGCGTGCGTCATTTGGGAAAAAAAAATTGAAAAAATAAAAAATGGTCACAACTGCGGCGGTCGTAAGTCCCGACGGTCGTAAGTCGAAGCAGTCGTAAGTCGGGGTCTAGCTGTATATAAACCGGAATTTTGTTATCCGTTGCCACTTTGCTGCCACCTACGAACTGATTTCTTTGATCATTGGTTGGTGATTGGATGTCTCTTTTTTTTATTCTTTAATGGCGAAACCCAACTGTCTTTCTTCTATTTATTAAGAAAATATATTATACTGTATACAGCTCCAAGTGTATATCACCTTAACTTAATCACTGTAGCTAGAGTGTTAAATGAGGACAGATGCTATGTTAAATAGCTCTTCTAAAATACGTCCTGTTGGTATGAGGGGTTGAGTAAAAGTGCCTGTAATACCCGTCGAGGGAGAACGGTAATATACGTCCTCCCTCGAGGGAAGACGGAACCATCCACGATGGCTCTCAATAACGTCTTCCTCTTGTCAAGGATATCAAACTACTGCCCGCATAAGGTGGCCAGAGAGCCGGCTACTCAGTGCCTTAGCTCAGCACTAAGTGACGTGACTTCCCATGTGCACACCTTAACACGTGCTCTGAACATGCTACCTCATAGCTTGTGGAAAGTTACAGAGGGTGATAGAGTATATAAGTCTAATATAATTAACCCGTTTATATAAACACTTCTGCCTATAAGACAGGAGCTATTACAAGTTGTTTTAGTTGCACTGAGAGTAGTACCACTTCCAGCACTAACCTTAATCTTGTCAGCGTTGGTCCGGATAGTACGCACCGTTGTAGGGGTTAGACCAAGCACAGCGGCTATGACCACAGCACGTTACCCTTCTTCAAATCGGGTTAATACATCCATTTTCGTAGCAAGAGTAATGGTCTTACGTTGCCTCTTCACTACACTAGCACTTGATGGGCACTTGGAAGCCATATCGAATGGTTTGAGTACAGTTTGAGAGCAAAAGCACTTAAGCACACACGAATGATGTGAAGTAATAGAGACTGGCTTGGCGTCGCTTGGGGACTCTGTGACATTATGCGAGTGAGAGTAGCGTTCTGAGCCGAGAGAGAGTAGTGCGACCAGGCGAGAGAAGGTGATGCGCCGAAGTTGTGCCAAATCTCCTGGACGTTAAACAAATTTTTGGTCTCTAAAGTTTAGTGACGTAGTACCGAAACAACGTTAAGCGGGACGACGCTAAGTGAGGTCTTACTGTACTTCTTCATTTGTTTTCCTGTCAGTGTAACTTATTCTTAACATTCACCTATAATACTACATTTCAAAGGCATCTAACCTCTTCCTGGTGTCTGCTGAAGGTGTCCATGCTTCTGACCCATACAGTAGGCCTTGCCATATAAAACCTTTCAACAGCCTTTTTCTCAAATTAAAGTTAATGACCCTTTTCATTCGGTCTTTTACATTATTAAATGCTGTTTTTGCTTGTCCTATTCTTGTTTTGATTTCTTCTGTACATCTACCATCACAGCTAATGTTACATCTCAAATGCACAAAATTTTCCACTTGTTTCAGTTCCCTGTTTCCTTCCATAATTTTTATTTTAGGATTTATTCCCAAACTGCAAACAATATACAGGTATTACTTTCATCTTTACAGCATTAAGTCTTAAACCACATTCTTCATTCTTTTCCACTAATCTGGTTATAATTTTTTGTAACGCCTCTTCACTATTTGTGATATGAGCAGTATCACCTGCATAGTTTTCTGTACAGTACAGTATTTGATACTACTTTTCTATGTACATGTATTTTATTCTCTAGATTGAAGACTACCTTCGGAAGAGTGTAAATCGATCCATCAAAGAAGTTCACGAGAACATGCACAAGGCTCATCTCCTCTGCCTCTTTGCTCACGGTCGACATGTTAACATGACACTAAACTCTGACACTCTCCTGGCTGCTGCCCTCTCCATTATTACTGACAAGAATGCTTACCCTCCCAAGAGGCTGGATCTTAAGTACTTGGAAAAGTTTGTCAATTGGTTTTCAAAGAAAATAGCCGTTAAACCTGAAGATATGGAGGAGGATTACTGGAGTCATTCCCAGAAGGATATCTTAGTGAAGAGGTTTGAGACCAAACAGGTTTGCTCCAACAGAGAGTTTGTGATTATGTTTGTTATAATGTGTCGTGCTCTGGGGATGAATGTGCGCTTGGTCTTGTCCCTCCAGCCAATGAGTTGGAAACCAAGTGCTGAGAGACTTATTAAACCTCCAAAGAAAACAGAGAAGAAGCCAAACATATTCTCAGAACCTTCTTGTTCACAAACACCTGAAAGTACATTAAATAAAAAAAATAATAAAGAAGAAAAAGACAAATTAAGTAGGAAAATGTTATCTTCAGATTCTGATGTGGATGTTAAAGGGAAAAGGGGCTCCAAGATAAAGAATTCAAAGGGAAAAGAAAAGAAAATAAAGAAGAGGAAATCCCTAAGTGGTGGTGATGATGATGATGATGATGATAGTGACTTTGACCTTACACCAGTGAAGCTGAAGAGAGGTCCTCAGTCAGTGAGTACACAAAGACAAAGATCTGACAAGAGGAAAAGTAGTGAAGGAAGTGGGAGCACAGATAAGAGGAAGGAAAATGAGAACGATGGAAAGGTAGAGGGCAAGAGAAAAAAAAATGAACCGTTGATGGAATGGGCGGAGGTGTACGTGGAAGAGGAGGAGAAGTGGGTGTGTGTTGATGTGACAAGAAGGAAAATTCACTGTACAGCAGAAATTGGGGTAAGTCATTGAGCAGATTTACACTGGCTATAATAAGATGTACAGTCACCCATAAAACTTCTGTTGCTTTTCCTCTTCAACCACAAACTCTGAGATTCAGACTTTTGAACCCAAAGCATCGTCCTGCCAATAAATTCTTCGGATTCACGAGTCTTAATCTCAGGGTTCGTGGATCAGGGTAAGAGGCAACAGGAGTTTTATGGGTAACTCCACGATACTATAAATAAGTCATTATTTCTACAATAAAATGCAGTCTGTGAAGAAATTTTAACATATCTTTGTCAGTTCAATTGTACAAAAAAGATTACAAATTACATATTTTTTAATAAAGTCAGTTTACATTTTTTATATGCAAGGTTTCATTATTGCTTTGTATAAACTGGCTTCATTACTAACATTCAGATTTAAAGTGCCTGAATGTAAACTCAGGATGATTGACATGATCAGTTTGATGAATAATTCTCCCGTACACACTCTGTTAAGTTACGTTATTGACACATAATTACATTCACTTCTCCACCCCCAAGGCACGTATGCCAGCAACGTCAGCATACATCACTGCATATAACGCCAACCTGACAGTGAAGGACGTCAGCAAGCGTTATGTACCCAGTTGGCTCTCTAATGAAAACAAGGTGTGGTATATAGTAATTGGTGTGCCAGGTGAAAGAGTAAAGTGGCCAATGAGAAAGTTAGGGGTCAAGGAGTGTCTTGCTTGAGTGGTTATGGCATTATATGGTTTCAAATACATCTGAGAGAGAAACTGTTTAGGATTTTGAGATGAAAGTAGAGGTCCAGCAGGGGTTTGTCTTAAGCCCCCTTCTGTTTAACATGGTGCTGGAAGCAATATCACAGGAATTTAGGACTGGTCTGTTCTGGAAGTTGTTGTATACTGATGACTTAGTGCTGATAGCAGATGGTATTGGAGAGGCAGTGGAGAATTTTAAGAAATGAAAGGATGGAATGGAGGCATAGGGCCTGAGAGTGAATGTGGCATGTGGCAAAAACAAAATGGTGTGGGTGAGGGACCTGTGGTGGAAAATGGTCATGTGCTGTTTGTAAGAAAGGTGTTGGTAGCAACTCAGTAATGTGCAACAAGTGTGGAAGGTGGGTACACAGGAGGTGCAGTGAAACAGATGACAGACTTCAGGGTGTTGCTGACTTAGTATTCTGTATAATGTACTGCACTCTGGTATCGTAACCATGTGTTCATAGTAAGGCTGGAGAAACTCGGCTTTTAGGGATATGCCCCTGAACTGTATTCATGAGTTGTGTTTCCTGAGTGACATGATCAGTGGGGGTGCTGGAGGCTGCTGAGTTGCAAGAGTCAAAAGTGGCTGGAGGAAGTTTAGGGAATTATTGCCTTTATTGACGGCATGAGGACCTTCCCTCCGAGTGAAAGGAAGAATGTATGCAGCTGGTGCGAGAAGTGTGATGTTGTATGGTAGTAAAACATGGGCAGTTAAAGAGATGACATAAGTAGACTTGAGTGAGCTGAAATGAGAATGTTAAGGTGGATGTGTAATGTGACACTGAAAGACAGGAGGCTCTGTTTAGAGCTAAGAGGGCAGCTGGGTATTGAGAGTACAGTATTGGCAAAGTTCTGCATAGAGGCAAACTGGTGGTTTGGGCCTGTGGAGAGAATGAATGAGACCAATGGGGTCAGAAGGTGCATGAGCCTAAATGTGGAGGGAAGGAAAGCCAAGAATGACATGGGGAGAGGTGTTAAGAAATGACATTAGAGTTAAGAACCTGATAAGAGAGACTGTGCAGCATGGAGAGCTGCCATAAGGTAATTAAGGGTATCCCACAAGCTTGGAAAATGGCCACAAATCTTTGATGATGAATCATGCCCCAAAATATAACTCATAAGTACTGATGGTTCTTATTAATTGTCTATAATTTTGAAAGGACTGTGAACTACCCAACAGATACTGTACTGTACTGTATAGTGTTGTGAGAGGAGTTCAAGATGAGAAATATCCATACCTTCTCTCATACTTATTTTTCTTTTTTTTAATGTACAGTAGGATCGGGATATATAGCGACTATATATAATGAGTTTTTTATATCGCGGCTACCAAAATTACAAAAATTTTCCAATATACAGTATAGCGATAAATTTATTTACAGTAAACTCAACTTACGTGGGGTTATGTTCCTGGGACCTCACATGAAGCCAAACACCCTGGAAAGTAAGAGACACTCCTAAAAATCCCCAAATTCCCTCAAAATAAGAGTTGAATTTTTTTTCTCTTGTGCAAAATATATGATGTCTATATTCAAATTATTCGCTCTCTTGCTAGGATTCCAGCAATGCTATTTATATTCTGCTAACTTTAGTCTGACATTTTATGAGATAAAAACTTTAAGCCTAAAACCACATTCAATCTTGCTGGAACTGGAGGTGATGTATTATAACAGCTGGCACCAGCTGGCCAAGGTTACCTAATGGTATTTATTTACGTATCAGTCATATAAGGGGTTTACGTTTTTCTCTTATAAAATGTCAATGAATTGACTTAAGAGAATATAATTAACATTGCTGGAATTCTTGTAAGATGGTGATTAATTTGAATATAAACATCTATAGTTCACAATAGACAAAATTTTTAGTAATAATTAGTACATTTTAATACAAAGGACTAAAATTTTTATCTCTTGTGCCAAATATATGAAGTCTATATTCAAATTATCTGCTGCCTTGCAGAGATTCCATCAATGCAATTTATATTCTGCTAACTTTAGACTGTGCCATTTTATGTCAAGTTTAGTCTCATTTATTAGCCTCCAGAGACTAACTCTTGCGATATATGCCGATCCTACTGTACCATACATTTCTTGTATTGCAAAAGCTCAGTATTCATACATTAGTTTGTGGTTTATACAATGTGGCAGCACACTCCCTCAGAGAAGGTGGTAGTCAGGCTCCTGCAGCATGAACACATCCCATCAATAAGATGGTCTTCTCATAGGGTTGATGTTTGTCCTTACAAGAACCACATTGTAATTCGCTGGCTCAAAATTTTTGTTCTTTTCAAGTTACGGTGCTGCAGTAAATGGTGGGAGAAGGTACTGAGATCTTTCAAGGGACAGAGAACTAGGCTGGATAAAGAAGAGGATAAGGAAATGGACCTTAACCTTAAAGAGCAGCCACTACCAAAAAGTATTGGAGAGTGAGTATGTACAGTAGTGTGTTGTGGTAGTTGATATTTTGATTCTCTTATGGTAAGGAAGTGGAAGTGTTGTACATCTCAGGAACTGATGTACAGTTCATAGTCACTTGAGCATGACTACTGTAGTTAATAGTGGAGAAAAAAAAAATATTAGATATATGAAGTTAACTGACCTAAGGTACAACATCAATTGTTATAGTAATTTGATGGTAAAAGAGTACAGCAGACTTGTAGATAGAGGGGTAACAATTCTCATGAATATCTTTAATAAAAGTTTATTTGATTTTGATTTGAAGAAAGTGTGTGAAGGAGGACGTGTGTGTGTGTGTGGGGGAGGGTGGGAGAGACATTGTACTGTGTTTGAAAGCCTGAATGGTTTAACAGTCTCATTCTTCCAGGTACAAGAATCACCCATTGTATGCTCTACAACGCCACCTTCTCAAGTTTGAGGCAATATATCCACCCGATGTCTCCCCAGTTGGGTTTATCAGAAGCGAGCCGGTGTATCCTCGTGACAGCATCTACAACCTTCATTCTCGGGACACTTGGATGAAGGAGGCCAAGACTGTAATAGTCGGAGAGGAGCCCTACAAGGTTGTTAAGGCCCGCCCAAAATGGGATAAGGTGAGGCTTTCTTAGCCTGTAGTTTATTATTTGGTATTACTTATTTTATTCTTGTAAACCAGTGAGCTGGGAGATCCATGCTAACAAAATATTCTCACGAGATATGAGTGGGTTAGGTTTTCCCCAAAAAATAGTTAGGTGAACTTTTGTGTCGAATACAAAACACATGGGAAAAATAGGGTTCAATTCCCCAATAACAAAAATACCCCAATATCATACCTCCAAAAATGAAAAATTTGTTCACAAACAAATACAAAACCTACCTAACTAATGATAAATAGTACATAACTATTCTTATCATATTAACCAACACATGAAATTACTACCTAATACATGAAAAGTAAAATAATAAAATACTGTTTAACTATGGCACATTACTTAAGGGAGGCCAGTATGAGCTCACTACCACTAGGGGGTGAGCAGGGGTGGTCTGCCAAGGACACCAGAGTTGGAAAGAGGAGAAGAAAATTCGCTAGAAGGAGTGGGACTGGAAGATGCAGGAAGCAGTTTGAAGGTGGTGATGGGTCTGAAGGAGGAGGATATGGTGGGTTGTCTGGCCTTTCTCCTCAGCTGTCGTTGAATCTCAGTGTAGACTCGGATGTCTCTCTCCACACTAGAGGCAACTGCACCACCACTCCTTTCTATTTGAGGTTTCTTGGCATGAAAAAAGTCCAGCCCTTTACAAATGAGATCAAGGCCCTCACTGACAACCTTGAGACTGAGCTGGCTTTCAAGTAGCTCCTCTGACTGGTTCTCCTCCTCTTCAGGAAGCCTCTGCTGCTGGAGCTGCATGAGTTCTTCGTTAGTGAGGTCCTGTCTGTGTGACTGGAGCAGATCCTGGACATCCTCCCCTGTCCACTACCTCAAACCCAGCCTCCTGAGCAAGGCTAACAATGTACTGCTGCACTCTTCCCACATCCACCAAATCCCGCAAAATCGTGCTCACACTCGGGCCAAATCTTGTGCCAAATGCGGTTCATGGTTTGCAATGACACCTTCCAAGACTCATTGGTGTGTTCAATGACTGTCTTAATGTTTAAAGCCTTCCAAAATAACTTGATGCTGGTCTGGTTTTCTGCAGTCTGGTGAACAAGTTCTGCACCATGCACCGAAGGTAGTAAGCCTTGAAGGTGGAAATGACACCTTGATCCATGGGTTGGATGAGTGAGGTGATGTTAAGTGGTAGAAACATCATCTTGGATATTGTCTGCTCTCTCTTCCATTTTGGGTGGGTGTGCAGTAGCATTGTCAAGGAGGAGGAGGAATTTGTTTTACAAGTTGTTCTTCGAACAATACAACCTGCACATGTTTGAGAGGTAATAATGACGTACAGTAATTGTATATCAGCACCGAAGTCACCCTGCCTTCTGGTTGGAGCGCCAAATAACCGGAAGATGATCCTTGTACAATCCCTTAAGAGTCCTGGGATTCTCTGAGTGGTAACAAGGGCTTCAGCTTCAAGTCACCTTCAATGTTACCAACAAGTAGTACAGGTAGCTGAAGATTCAGCAGAATGCTTGGCTGCCGTTATGAAAGTTGTAAGGAAAGGATGGCATGAATACACACAGATAGAGAGATCGTAGCACACGCTCAATGAAAAAAAATGGCAAAAAAGAAAAGACGCAGGCTTGTGGGAGATGCGGAGGGAGGTGGTATGATCAGTGAGCAAGAATATGTTTCTGCACATATCTCCCTAAGCTGACTCCCGGCATGCAAAATTTGAATTTTTGCCGAGACCCAGATTCGTATAAGTAGGGGAAGATCTCGTTTCTTGAAAGAGTGGTGTCAATTTAGGACATTCGTATCACCGAATTTTCAAATCTCAAGGGATACCTGTACAGTACGTGATGGATGGTGTTAATCAACAGTGGAAAATTAGATGGATATTATGGGTGGACCTTGTAGTAGAAGGGGAACATTATAGCTGAACACATCTGTTTTGATACGGAATGACTGACAAAGAATGCATGAATGTACAGTACAGTATTTGTTCTTGTTTCTGTTCATCCTGCATTAAACAGGCAATGACTTGAAAAGAAAAAAAAAGAAGTTCATATTTGTAAGTTACATAAACCAAGAGAACATAAAACTGTACAAAACTGAATAATATTTCATTTTGTACACCTGACTTCTGAGAATACTTTCTGAGAGTGAAGTGGCAGTGTTGGTGAAGATGATTTTCTTTAGTTTAACTGCGAGACTTAACAGTGACCAACCCTGTTAATATTACATCATGTAGTTACTGTTGGTTCCCGTCTTGAAACACAACTGAATTATATGCGGTAATTAATGCATTATAATTTGGAACTTGATAACTCTTGCCTGAATTACAGTTGACTTGTAAAGTGATCAAAGACCTGCCATTAGAACTGTATGGAGAGTGGCAGGTAGAAGACTATGAGCCACCAGTAGCATCTGGAGGGAAGGTACTTAATGAGTATGGCAATGTGGAGCTGTTCAAACCCACCATGTTGCCAAAGGGATGTGTTCATATACCAAGTAGGTGGATCTTATTACCATTTGTCTCTCTCTTCTTCTCCCTTCCATTAATATCATAATTTGGTGGAGTTTTTCATTTCAGCATTGTATTAGAAGTACAGAATATAACATATCATTGGTGGAATATAAATTTGTTCTAGTAAAATTTGAGCTTTACAGAGTTGGGTTACACAGGATTCTTAATATAAGTTACAACCATGATTGACAAGAGTGTTCATACAGGCCCAAATGGTAGAGTTTGGGAGGTGGCTTCTTACCTGCAGGAAGCATGAAAACTTTTTAAAATAATTCTCATATGTCAAAATGGTAAATTTATATTCTCAAATCCTATTATGTTTAGGTAAAAAAAAATTATAGGCTTATATATGCTGTGATCAGACTTCCTAAGAGTGGAAGTCTCGAGGTGGTGGTAATTTCTAAACTTGATGATAAAGTAAGACCAAGTCAAGTTATGTATAATTATCACCTTGGTGGTTTAGTAATATCTTTGATCAGACAGTAAGAGATTCAAGTAACAATGAAGGAGAGAAGAGCAGGTTCAGTGAATATTGATACAGGATGTAAAGGTGAAGTGAGTCAACTGGTGCTTGCCGACAAAACTGTTCTTGTGAGAGATTCTGAAGAAAAAAATTACAAATGTCAGTGATTGAGTTTGGAAGGGTGTGTGTGTTTGTGAGTGAGTTTGGAAGTGTGTGTGTGTTAGTGAGTGAGTTTGGAAGTGTGTGTGTTTGTAAGTGAGTTTGGAAGTGTGTATGTGTTAGTGAGTGAGTTTGGAAGTGTGTGTGTGTTAGTGAGTGAGTTTGAAGTGTGTGTGTGTTTGTGAGTGAGTTTGAAGTGTGTGTGTTTTGTGAGTGAGTTTGGAAGTGTGTGTGTGTGTTTGTGAGTGAGTTTGGAAGTGTGTGTGTTAGTAAGGAGTTTGAAGTGTGTGTGTTAGTGAGTGAGTTTGGAAGGGTGTGTGTGTTTGTGAGTGAGTTTGAAGTGTGTGTGTTGTTTGTAGAGTGAGTTTGGAAGTGTGTGTGGAGTTTAAGAGGTATGTGTGTGTTTGGGGTGAGTTGGAAGTGTGTGTATGTGTGTGTGTGTTAGTGAGTGAGTTTAATTATCAATGTAATAATAATTAATGGTTTATTGAAAGAGCTTGGTAGCCAGAAATGAAAAATATACAGTTACATATTTGGGGGAATGGGTTACATCACATAAATAATATACAAGTAAATATGAGTGACACAAATACATGGTATAATAACTAGATGGGAAAAGCTCAAACTACAGTTCATTTCAACATAGTGACAGTGCAAGGAGTAGTGTTTACTGGGAGTGAACATAATTGATTTATTACAGTTATTGATAATTTTTACAATGGTTGGGGACTGGGCTACTTATAGCAATCAGTTCGCAAGTAACGTGATGGGATGGATGCGTTGTGGTGTCGAATGTTACCTCGGACTAGGGGATCTCTCAGGTAGTAGGAGCCGTGTCGGGATGGTGTAGAAGCTTACCAAATTCTGGTGTGATGAGGTCGTGGTGATGGTCAGTGAGAGCCTAAAGGGTCAGTGTGTTGAGCGCTTGATATGGAGCAGGAAGGGGAGAGAATAATCTTGCATGCCCTTTCAAAATTTTTTTCTAGGTGTTTACAAGCAGTGCATTTTGGTTGAGGAAGACCAGGTGGGGGAGGCATAGGTGAGCTTGGGAAGTATGAATGTTGTGTAAATAATATAGCCAAAGAACTCCGAGGGACGGAGTCGCATGAGGGAGGTGGGAGAGGACGGAAACTGGAGGATTTGATAACTTCACTGACGGTGTGGTTTCCAATTTAGTTTGTTGTCTATGGTGACGCCGAGAGCCAGAATCTGCTACAACCCGGGAGTGTGTCTGGACCCCAGAGTAATGGAAGGAGGTGGGGACAATGTCGAGGAGAGGTTGATGTGCATAACCATGGTCTTGGTATGGTTGATGGTGACATGGTTGTTGGTGGCCCAGTTTTGGAGACTGTTCAACAAATCCTGAAGGGCGTATAGCTGGGAGCAGAATTGTTGACGCTGATCCCAATGGTAGGAGTCGCCGACATATTTCCAGCGAGCAGGAAGCTTTCTTAGGGCATCATTGATGAGCATAAGGAAGCAGAGTGGTCCCATCTTGGTGCTCTTTGGGGACGCAGCTTACAGGTGAGTGACTGAAAGGTGGAGACAGCCCCTCGAAGCTGCAGACACCTACGCGCCGGTCACTGAGGAAGTTCAATATGGTATAAGACTTCTCCGCCCGAGGTCAATAGCTTTGTTGATGATTATTGTAGTCGACTAGGCCTGTAACGCTTAGTGAAATCACGAAGGCGACAGCTATATGATGCTGCCGAGATGGCGGTATACGTAATCGAAAGCTGACAAGACAGTGAGTGGTGGAGGAAGTTTTTATGTTGCCAAATTGTTGAGAGGGTTCATTTACTTCCTGCAATATCAGCATAAGCCCAGTCGTAACACAAAAACTTTCACAGATTAGGCTGGGTATTGGGGGTGATTGCAATAGGTCGTGTAGCGCTGATTTGGCGATTGTGGGCTGGTTGACTTGGGCACTGCGTGATATATAAGAGGTCTTCCAGTCAGTTGGCATCATCTGGCTTGACTGAGAGAAGCATTACGATGGAGCATAGGGGTTTAGCAATTTGGGGAGAACTCCCTTTTAAAGAAAGCTCATTGGTAAGTCAATGGGGTGGTAGAGCCGCTTAATTTTAGTTTGTCCAGGCTGCTTATATCTAAATTCTTCTTCACTGTCAAGTGGGAAGGGGGGCCAGTAGGGTAAGCAGGAGAGGTATAGTTGCCGGGGAGCTGCTCTGGCACAGTAGCTTAAATGGTTTGTTTGCTCATCTTCGGCCAACATTAGTGAGATGGCTAAGGAAGGAGGGGTGCTGCCTTTATTGTTTAGTCTCACAGAGAGTTCTCCTTAAGCTACCATACCATTGACTGATGTTGGTCTGTTTGTGTTGTAATTTGGTTGGGTAGTGGGACTTTTGCAGCGATTTCATGATGACTCGTTGGCGGAGGGACCTGTAGCGGATGTGGCTGCTGAGATGAAAGGCTCTGTCTCTTGTTGCATAAGTCTTTGATCCGAGGTGATCCAGGGGCAAGCCAGCTGGGTGAGATCTGACGGACTTCTCGTGGGGAAGTGGAAGCAGTGTGAGCTTCCGCAGTGGTGTTGGCGTTAATTTATCCGGTTTCCACGCCAGTTCACGCCAACATCAGTCCAGGAGGTGAATCATCCACGTTCAAGAGGCGCACTGCAGAGTCAGTAATCGCCTGTAGGTCTTGGATGTAGGGTTCTGTACTTCTGAGTGGGAGTGGCAGCTGGGGACCAGAGCACTGATAAGTGTGTGCTAAGCACCGAGCAGGGAGGCATTGGCTGAGGTGGTTGGTACTGTCCGCTAAGTCAGTTAAGATAAGGTCAAGGGTATTTTGACCGCAGGGTGGGGAAGGTCATACCCCAGATAGTGGCTAGCTGGTCCTGGATATCATGGTAAAGCCACTTGCTGCAAATCCCCACATAATACTAACTTGGCACATGGGTGCCTAACTCTGAGGTGGTCTGGAGGTGGTGTGATGAGATGATTGATAAGAGTGTTTCTGGTGGGGGAAAGCGAGGCGAAGGCAAGGCCAGATTATGAGATTGCAGCTAGAGCAGGCTCCGTAGTTAACGCACACGCATCTATACGGAAGTGTGTGTGTGTGTTAGGTGAGTGAGTTTGAGGTGTGTGTGTGTTTGTGAGTGAGTTTGGAGGTGTGTGTGTGTGTGTGGGTTTGGAAGTGTGTGTGTGTGTGTTTGTGGTGAGTTTGGAAGTGTGTGTGTGTGTGTGTGTGTGGGGTTTGGAGGTGTGTGTGTTAGTGGAGTGGTTGGAGGTGTGTGTGTGTGTGTGTGTGGGTGGGTTTAGGTGTGTGTGTGTGTGTGTTTGGAGTGTGTGTGTGAGTGGGTTTTGGAGGTGTGTGTGAGTTTGGAGGTGTGTGTGTGTTTGTGGTGTGTTTGGAAGTGTGTGTGTGTTTGTGAGTGAGTTTGGAAGTGTGTGTGTGTTTGGAGTGTGTGTGTGTGAGTGGGTTTGGAGGTGTGTGTGAGTTTGGAGGGTGTGTGTGTGTTTGTGTGGAGTGTTTGGAAGTGTGTGTGTGTTTGTGAGGTGGGTTTGGAGATGTGTGTGTGTGTTTGTGAGTGAGTTTGGAGGGTGTGTGTGTGTGTGTGTGTGTGTGTGGGGGGGTGGGGTTTGAGTGTGTTTGTGGGTGAGTTTGGAAGTGTGTGTGTGTGTGTGTGTGTGTTTGTGTGTGTGTTTGTGATGAGTTGGAATGTGTGTGTGTGTGTTTGGTAGGTTTGGGGTGTGTGTGTGTGTGTGTGTGTGTGTGTGTGTGTGTGTGTGTGTGTGTGTGTGTGTGTGTGTGTGTGTGGGTTGGAAGTGTGTGTGTGTTTGTGGGTGAGGTTGGAGGTGTGTGTGTGTGTGTGTGTTTGTGAGTGAGTTTGGAAGTGTGTGTGTGTGTTTGTGAGTGGGTTTGGAAGTGTGTGTGTGTGTGTTTGTAGTGAGTTTGGAGGTGTGTGTGTGTGTGTGTGTGTGTGTGTGTGTGTGTGTGTGTGTGTGTGTGTGTGTGGGTTTGGAAGTGTGTGTGTGTTTGGTGGGTGAGTTGGAGTGTGTGTGTGTGTGTGTGTGTTTGTGGTGAGTTTGGAAGTGTGTGTGTGTGTGTTTGTGAGTGAGTTTGGAAGTGTGTGTGTGTGTGTTTGTGAGTGAGTTTGGAGGTGTGTGTGTGTGTGTGTGTGTGTGTTTGTAGGTGAGTTTGGAAGTGTGTGTGTGTGTGTGTGTGTTTGTGAGTGAGTTGAAGTGTGTGTGTGTGTGTTTTTGTGAGTGAGTTTGGAAGTGTGTGTGTGTTTGTGAGTGAGTTTTGGAGGTGTGTGTGTGTGTTTGTGAGTGAGTTTGGAAGTGTGGTGTGTTTGTGAGTGAGTTTGTGAGAGTGAGTTTGGAGTGTGTGTGTGTTTGTAGTGAGTTTGGAAGTGTGGGTAGGTTTAGAGTGTGTGTGTGTGTTGGAGGTGAGTTTGGAAGTGTGTGTGTGTGTGTGTGTGTGTGTGTGTGTGTGTTTGTGAGTGAGTTTGGAGGTGTGTGTGTGTGTTGTGAGTGAGTTTGGAGGTGTGTGTGTGTTAGTGGTGAGTTTGGAGGTGTGTGTGTGTGTGTTTGTGAGTGAGTTTGGAGGTGTGTGTGTGTTAGTGAGTGGGTTTGGAGGTGTGTGTGTGTGTGTGTGTGTGTGTGTGTGTGTGGAGAGTGAGTTTGGAGGAGAGTGAGTTTGGGTGTGTGTGTGTGTGTGTGTGTGTGTGTTTGTGATGAGTTTGGAAGGTGTGTGTTGTTTGGAGGAGTTTGGAAGTGTGTTTGTGATGAGTTTGTAAGGAGTGAGAGTGTGTGTTTGGTGATTGAGTTTGGAGGTGTGTGTGAGTTAAGGTGTGTGTGTTTGTGAGTTATTTGAAGTGTGTGTGTGTGTGTGTTTAGAGTGAGTTTGAGGTGTGTGTGTTAGTGAGTGAGTGGAGGTGTGTGTGTGTGTTTGTGAGTGAGTTGGAGGTGTGTGTGAGTGAGTTTGAGGTGTGTGTGTGTGGTGAGTGAGTTTAATATGTTTTAATGTTTATTGAAAGTTTGAAGGTGTATTGGAAATGATATTGCATCAAGAACGTGTGTGTGTGTGGTTTATTATGAGGAAGGGTTTGTTTATTTGTTTAGTTGATGGGGTGGGACTGGGTGTGAGAGGTGGTGTGGTGTATTTGTGTGTAATGTGTCTGTGGGGGTTGATATGAAGGACTCAGGTGGTGAGTGTGTGGAAGTGTGTGTGGAGTGAGTTTGGATGTGTGTTTAGGAGTGAGTTTGGAAGTGTGTGTGTGTGTTTAGGAGGAGAAGTGTGTGTGTGAGGAGTGAGTTTGAAAGGTGTGTGTGTGTGAGTGAGTTTGAAGTGTGTGTGTTTGTGAGTGAGTTGGAAGGTGTGTGAGTGAGTATGTGTGTGTTTGTGAGTGAGTTTGAAGTGTGGGGTGAGTTTGTATGTGTGTGTGTGTGTGTGTGTTTGTGAGTGAGTTTGGGGTGTGTGTTTGTGAGTTAGTTTGGATGTGTGTGTGTTTGAGTGGGAGTGAGTTTGGAGGTAGTGAGTGAAGTGTGTGTGTGTTAGTGAGTGAGTTTATGTGAGTTTGTGTGTGTGTGTGTGTGTGTGTGTGTGTGTGTGTGTGTGTTCACAGGAGTTTGAAGGTTTGTGTGAGTTTGAAGGAGTGAGTTGAAGTGTGTGTGTGTGTGTGTTTGTGAGTTAGTTTGGGTGTGTGTGTGTGTTTGGGATGTGTGTGTGTGTGGAGTGAGTAGTGTGTATGTGAGTGTGTTTGTGAGAGTGTGAGTTTGGGTGTGTGTGTGTGTGTGTGTGTGAGTTTGAGGTGTGTGTGTGTGTGTGTGTGTGTGTTTGATGTGTGTGTGTGTGTGTTAGTGAGTGAGTTTGGATGTGTGTGTGAGTTTGGTGTGTGTGTGTGGGTGAGTTTGGAAGGTGGGAGTGAGTTTGGAGGTGTGTGTGTGTGTGTGGGGTGAGTTTGGGGTGTGTGTGTGTGTTTAGAGTGAGTTGAAGGTGTGTGTGTGTGTTTTGTGAGTGAGTTTGAGGTGTGTGTAAGGAGTTTGTGTGTGTGTGTTTGAGGTGAGTTGGGTGTGTGTGTTTGTAAGTGTGTGAGTGAGTGGATGTGTGTGTGTGTGTGTGTGTGTGTGTGTGTGTGTGTGAGTGAGTTTGAAGTGTGTGTGTTTGAGTGAGTTTGGAAGTGTGTGTGTTGGAGGAGTGAAGGTGTTTGTGATGAGTTTGGAAGGTGTGTGTGTTTGTGAGTGAGTTGAAGTGTGTTTGTGAGTGAGTTTGGAGGTGGGGTGAGTTTAAAGGTGTGTGTGTGTTTGTGAGTTAGTTTGGAAGTGTGTGTGTGTGTGTGTGTTTGTGGAGTGAGTTTGGAGGTGTGTGTGTGTTAGTGAGTGAGTTTGGAGGTGTGTGTGTGTGTGTGTTTGGAGTGAGTTGAGTGTGTGTGTTATTGAGTGAGTTTGGAGGTGTGTGTGTGTGTGTTTGTGAGTGAGTTTAATAATAATAATAATAATAATTAACTGTTTATTGAAAAAGTTCTGCAGCCCAAAGGCTGAAAATATACATTGGACAAAAATGACTTATTGCATACAAAGACACGGGGTGGATGGGTCGATTAACAAAAGCTTTCATTACTGAAAGAAGAAGGAACGTAAATTGAACATACAAATTATTATAGTTTACAGTTGATGGCCCGGACCTGGACTGGTCATGGAGACACCAGGTGGTGTGGTGTTCATTTGGTGTAGTAACTCGTCCTCTGGGGTTGATATGAAGGACCTCAGGTGGTCATGGGGCAACCGGGTGGTGTGGAAGTGTGTGTGTGTGAGTGAGTTTGGAAGTGTGTGTTTTGTGATTTGTTGAGTTTGAAAGTGTGTGTGTTTGTGAGTGAGTTTGGAAGTGTTGTGAGTGAGTTTGGAAGTGTGTGTGTGTTTGTGAGTGAGTTTGGAAGTGTGTGTGTGTTTGTGAGTGAGTTTGGAAGTGTGAGTGAGTTGGAAGTGTGTTTGTTCTAGTAAAGAGTAGATGGTGAATGTGAGGAAAGTGCAGTACAGTATATAGAGAAGAGAGAAATAAATGTTGACTTGAATGAAGAAAAGTATTGTGTACAAGGCATCAGGGAGGGCATGATGAGCATTAAATATTTGAACCACAGAGTAACAAAAGGAAATATAACATCTTACTGTGGGAAATGTAAGGATGAGGGAGGTATGTAAACAGGCAAAGATGGGGGATGTACAGGGGGACTTGTTAAGCCAGTATTATTATCTATGTGTGAAGGATGGACTCTGGAACAAAGGTGAAGGTACTACAGTAGTTAGAAATGACAAGTGAATGTTCCTGAGGTTAATATGTGAGTACTGTATTGATATAAGTAGATGGTGGATCAGTGGCTCATATATACTGTACTAAGAGAATGGGGAGTTGAAAGACTGATGTAAAAGAGTATTAGTTAGAGATGGTTGGTAGGAGGTAGACTGGAGGGTGAGATGAAGGGTAATAGATGGCCATTTAGGAGGCAGCAGTGTGTGTGTGTGTGTTAGCAGAGAGCATGGTGTTATTACCTTATGTTCAGATGACCATTGAAAGCCCATTACTGTATATGGTTGAGGGGGTGAAGTAAGGAACCTGTTTTGTTTTCCTCCTCTGGATAGACTCACAGCCCTGTTAGTGTCCACATTAACCCATTTGTTATAGATGGTTAATGATAATAATAATAATATACATTTATTCAGTAAACTCCTCATAAAAATTTACAATTGCTTTGGCATTTATATAGACAATGGAAGTATACAGTTCATTATGTGTGTAGACAGGGCAGGTATATTGTACATAGACTGTGGAGGTACAGTATACAGTTCAACCAAGGGCAGCCAACAAAGCCACCAGACAACTTATTACCTGTAGGATCCATCCCTGCCTACTGCCATGGGTTCATCATGCTTAGTAGTTTTATTTGTTTACAATAAAGTGCTTTATCTTAACCAATTCAATAAAATGATCTTAATATGAGTTGGTTTTAAGGCAGATGTACTTTTAAGGTTCTCACTAAATAAATAAATAAATAAATGCATTTGTTTCTGTAATATATCCTCTCATTTTAGTTGGTGGTCTCAACCGTTTGGCTCAGAAGTTGAACATTGACTGTGCTCCAGCGATGGTCGGATTTGACTTTCACTCAGGCTGGACTCATCCTGTGTATGACGGCTACGTTGTGTGTGAAGAGTTCAAAGACATATTAATGGATGCTTGGAACCAGGTAAAGTATAGTATATTGTTTTAGTATCCACTCATCAAATAGTATTTGGTAGGAGTTTACTGCCATAATATACCGTAAGGTCACTCAACATTATTTTTAGATGCTGGATATTGTGATTTTAAGGTTTACTTTGACAGTTCATTAGAATGCAATGCATTTATTTACTTATCAGACTATTTCATGTTGTTTGTGTAAACTTTAAAGGTGTTGGGTTGTTACTTGTTAGTTAGCACTGGTGAACAAAGTACTGGAAAGAGTAATACTGTAGTTACTGTGAGTAAAACTTATCAAGTAAAAATAAAGAGTAACAGTATTCAAGTTATGAGAGTGAAAGTACCATTTTTTAAAGAGTTAGTAGTATACGGTGCACTAATGTAGTGCCAATACTGTCAAAACACAATAAAATCACAGATCCATACAAAAACAAGCAATACAACTTCATATGGTCGCGATGGAATATCAGGACCCTTCTGGATACTGGCACAAATGAGTGTCCTGAAAGAAGAACTGCCCTTGTGGCCAAAGAGCTGGTTAGGTATAACATCAATAGCAGCCATTAGTGAGTCCCAGCTCCTAGACGAGGTTCAACTCACACAACGGGTCTGGCTATACCTTCTTCCTGAAGGGTAAGCTTGCTGCTGAGAGAAACTGCATTTATGGAGTTGGCTTTGCCATCTATCAACACATCCTACACAGGCTAACAGAAATGCTTATTGGGATCAACGAGCATCTCATGATGCTCTGAGTCCCACTGAATCACACATGTCATGCCTTTTTCATCAGTGCATTTGCCCCAACATCAAGGAAGCCTTTTACACCGACCTCGACAGAGTGCTAACCTCTATCACCAGAGAAGATAAGGTTGTGTTCTTGAGACTTTAATGCCAGAGTTGGCAGAGATGCTAACATTTGGCAGGGAACCATAGGGAGAAGTGGACAAGGCAAGTGTAATCCCAACTGCCTCCTCCTCGGAAAGTATGCTGCACACAACTTCACTATCACCAATACCTTGTTAAGGCAGGCTGACAAGTTCAAGGGTTCGTGGCAACACCCATGATCCAAACACTGGCATCTCATTGACTACATCATTGTCAGAGAAAGAGATCGCCGAGATGTCCTCATCACTCGTGCCATGCGTGGCTCAGACCACTGCGACACTGATCATCGGCTCGTCAGAGCCAAGCTCTCACTTCACGTCGCCCCAAAACGGTGAAGGCAGCAAGCCTCCAGAAGAGGTTTTAACACTAAGCAACTGGAGTATCCAGCGGTAGCACATGCTTTCAGAGAGCAACTCGAACATGGGCTGATAAACAACCTGACAACGAGCAACCCAAATCTTGGTGCTGAAAAAGATATTCTCACTACTGTCATTGACAAAAACCTGCAGAGAGACATTTGGCCAGATCAAAAGAATACACCAGGACTGGTTTGATGAAAATTACTTGGTAATCAATGTTCTCATCAATGATGTGTTGCTTTAACTGACTGGCAGAACAACCCTCAGTCTTGAACCACAGCTGATACCCTTTGCAAGAAGAAAGCTGTGGCCTAGCAAACTACATAATCTAAAGAATGACTGGTTTAAAAATAAAGCATGTGAAACACAAAAATTTGCAGACCAGCACAAGATGCAAAATTTTTTCAATTCCATCAAAACATTTAATGGGCCAATCACTCGTGGAGCACCCCCTCCGCCATCCGATAGTAACTTCTCAACCGAATCACTGATGTGGATGTCCTGACTACCCAGTAGGTCCCTCAGCATCCACAGCTGACCCACCTTAGCTATCCTCCATCCCTGGATGAGGTAGCTACTGCCATCAAACAGATGAAAAATAACAAAGCCTCAAGGCCTGATGGAATCCCAGCCGAGGTGTATAAAGCAGGAGGACCTCTGCTTACCAGCCGTCTCCACTCTCTCCTGGAGAATATATGGGAAAAGGAGGAAATCCCCCAAGCTCTTAAAAGACCCCATTGTCAATAATTATAAGAATAAGGGAGACCGGTCAGACTGTGGCAACTGCTGTGGAATCTTGCTACTGTCCATAGTTCGCAAGACTATCGCCCGAGTCTCTTAAACAGACTTCTTTCTGAGGCAGGAAACTTCCTCCCAGAATGTCATGTGGCTTAAGATTATCACATGGCACCACTGACATGATCTTTGCTGCCCGCCAGATACAGGAAAAGTGCAGAGAACAACGTCGTGACCTGTATATGGCTTTCATCGACCTAACCAAGGCCTTCGACTCGGTCAAGAGGGAAGCCCTCTGGTGGACCCTCAGCCGTTTTGGCTGCCCCCGAAAATTCATCACCATTGTGAGGCAACTCCTGCACAATGGCACCCAGTCTGAGTTCTTTCCCATCCAGATGGGGGTTAAACAAGGGTGTGTACTGGCAACAACTCTCGTTTCCATTTTCTTGGCTGCCTTCTTTATTCGTGCCAGTGCCAATTGCACGGCGGGGTGGACATCGAGTACCGGGTGAAGGGGACCTTTTCAGCATAAGATGACTCCAGGCAAGAACAAAGGTGTCAGCAGCTTCCATTACTGAACTACAGTATGCAGACAACCTCACTCTTGTTGCTCACACTGAATGTGACCTACAGGAGATCCTGAACACCTACGCAGATGTGTATGTCGGCCTTGAGGTAACTGTACGTAGGACTCAGATTCTCTTTCAACCTGCCCCCACCCATCTTAACGGTACTACCCTCTCTAATGTTACCCACTTTCGGTATTTCGGCTCCCACCTGTTCACCACCGCAGACATCGATGAAGAGATTCAGCATCGGATCAGATGTGCGTCTCAAGCCTTTAGCAGACTCTGAAATTGTGTCTTCAGCTGTAGGGAGCTGAAATTATCTACAAAGTTACAGTATATCAAGCAGTGGTCCTCACCTGCTATATATTGGCGAGACATGGGTTACATACAGGAGGCACCTCAAGGCACCTTAAAACTTTCACCAACATAGTCAATGTTCCATCCTCCGAGTTCGCTGGGAAGAAAGAGAACAAATGCCAGCATTCTTGCTGACACCAACTGTAGGAGCATTGAGGCTACCATTATTCATGAACAATTATGCTGGACTGGCCATGTTACCCATTATGGATGACAGTAGACTGCCAAAACCGCTACTTTACAGTCACCTAACGAATAGTAAACGTAATGCCGGCGGGCAACTGAAGAGGTATAAGGATAGTCTTGAGACAAACCTGAAAAAGTGCCAAATCTAGTGTATATGTACGATATATATCGTGATTTAAGGGCGATTTAGGGAATTTAGGAGTGTTTCTGACTTTATGCATTGCTATATATATACTTTTCTGTGAGCTGGAACCAATTACCCAATATCCCATTGAAACAATGGTTTCGGTTATCGGACAACCCTCTGGAACGAATTGAGTTCGTTAACCAAGGGACAACTGTAAACCTAGCCATGCCTATGTGTGTTTCTGACACTTACCATAACATTATATATATATTTTTAGTCAGAGAATTTATTTATGACACAGTTGCCTCCAGGTGTATTGTTACCCCCATGCTTCACCTACATCTATTGAAGATAAAATCTTTCACCTACAAAATTAACAAAAACACATTGATGGATGAAAATGGATGGAGGTAACAAAACTTGAAAGCTGTTGTACAAACACAAGCAATCACACATGCCACTCATACTGACAGACTTGACACTCACTTACTTGACAAGTTTTACCAACCATAAAGACAGTTGAAACTTTCAACATCACTCACAATGGATCTTGAATGTTCCAACCATAATCAGACATATCTAAGTTGCTCAACAATTGCAACCCAGTTGCAATTTCACCTGTGTCATTACTATGAATAATGAAGTCTCTGGTGCACTCTAAGATTGAGAGAAAAACGGAGGACTCAGGTGCTCGCAAGAGAGAAAACGGACTCCTATGATGGGGACTCAAATAAAGAAAGCATAGCTTCATGTTTTGTGGACTACAGTATTGAGCTTACCCTTTCATCACTTTGTATAAACTTAGCCATGTCTATGTTTTAACTCTTACCATAACATATATATATCTTTAGTGGGTCTAAATGAAATGGGAAAGTTGGGGTTGGGTCCCTGGAACCACCAGAATAAATCCCATAGGTTCTGTACTGTTATGCTGCTATCACACACCGCACGTCCCAATATACAGTAAAACCTCGATTAACCGACTTTCGATTAACCGTCAAGCCCTAACTCCTAAAAAAATATATATATATATATATATATATATATATATATATATATATATATATATATATATATATATATATATATATATATGTATGTATGTATGTATGTATGTATGTATGTATGTATGTATGTATGTATGTATGTATGTATGTATGTATGTATGTATGTATGTATGTATGTATGTATGTATGTATGTATGTATGTATGTATGTATGTATGTATGTATGTATGTATGTATGTATGTATGTATGTATGTATGTATGTATATATATATATATATATATAATATATATATATATATATATATATATATATATATATATATATATATATATATATATATATATATATATATATATATATATATATATATATATATATATATCACTGTAGGTGTGCGTGATCTGGTATATGCTGATAACCACAAGGAAAGGAAAAACACCTAAGTTCCCGCCAGGTAATTCACATCTTCAGGGGTGAGTACAGACTAGAGAGAGTAATACAAATCAAGGTGTATATATACAGAGGGAGGGTGAGACCAGGTCCACAATGGTCAGGTATTAGGTAATGACCCTACTAATCTTTAAATAGCACACAACGTTGGTGGTCAGGTCAGATGGTCAAGGACCCGCCTTCTCACCTGATCACAAATCTTTAATTACAAAATTGTCCAGCTTGTACATGCCGTTACTCAAATTCATGTTGAATGCTTCGTATGTTTAATAAGACTAGATTCTATGATGTTCCTACTATCAATTGAATTACATGGTAATATTGAGGAGGC